AAATTGGCCCAGAGGCATGCCATCCTTTGGAGGCCTAGAAAGATATCCTTGTCACCAAACAAGATTCCTGTGACCTGGACCTCAAGTGGTTGTGAAGTTTGAAAAGGATATGTGCTTTCTATGTGCTCAAAAGAAAAATCTCAGCCTGCTTGTATGCTATATTCAATGGGAGATCATTTGACATTTAGTTCTTTTTCTCTGGTTCACAGTTAAACTAGTGAAGAACGAGAATACTGAAAACAAATTCATAATGATGTGATGCTTCAGTTTTCTACCAGACCTCATCATTTTTAAGATATCTTCTCAGTCATAGGATGTGCTATAGAATAATAAAATCTGGGTGATGTCTTCTGTTTTTTTTTTTCTTTTTTTCCTTCAGTGGATATAGATCTTTCTATTTGATGCAAGAACATTTTTGCTTTGTACTGTATAAAAGATTATCAGACTTCAGTAACTAGCTTTAGTCTTCTTTCTCCATAATTATTTCAAACGATAGGCTGGAATTTATGCATATTTCAGTTGCAAAAATCTTTCTATACATCTAAATAAAAGATAAATTAATCATGAAAGAAACAATATCTATGCATTCTCTTCATATTCTAAAATAACTTTTGTAAAATGTTATTCAGATAGACTGCATTAGGTTTTTTTTTACTATGTTTTTACAAAGCCCTTTGAAGTCCTACTGAGCATCTTGTTTAAAAGAAAACACAGGAAGCCCAGACCATAACTGATTTTTCTCCCTGACTCTAAAAATAGGAAGGGAGATAGCATTCTGGGGACTATCAGTCACTGAGTGTGTTTACAAAGGGCATTGAAAATTATTCAGAGAATGCTGACATAAAAGGCTAGCTAAAATGTCCTTTAGTGTGATACGGACTTGCTATATGAAAACAGTCCATCAAATACCACAGATTCAGCATAGATTAGATCTTATAAAACATATTTACTAGTATACAGTTTACTGATAGAGAAGACATTAAAAAAAAAGTTCAGGATTCACAAATACTTCTTATTTTATGTTAATTTGGCAAATTATGGATTAGATCTAAATTAGGTATTTGAGATATTGCCTATTTTATTCCAAGAACCACTCATACTCTTTGGTAGTGCTCTTTCTTACAAAGCACCTGAAGCTGAAGAAATGGAACGTGGGGCTGCGTTAGGCCAGCAGAGCCCGCGGGCTCTGATGAGCTCTGCCGTGGCTGGCGGGGAAGCGCTCCTGCCAGCGGGGTTAGCTTCTGCTCTTGCTGAATACTGCTGCTAAACTTGGAGCTGCTTTTCAGCACAAGCTTCTTCTTATTTCTGACCCATCGCAGTGGTCTTCGACTACCAGCTAAGCAATAGAATTTGATTTTTCAGAAGTGCTCCTGAGTTACAGAATTCTCGAGGGTAAGGAAGTACAGCTTTCAAGCTATACAGTTTTCCCAAGCAGTAGCGATTCAACATGCATCAGAATAATCTAATTATTTCACTTATTTGACAGGAGGTTTTTGAATGAAAAGAGCCCATGAGCTTTTCTTTTGAAGTTCCATGCAATAATCCAAATAATCTGTTTTTTTTTTTTTACAACAAAAAAGGAATAATTGGCATTCGAAGACTTGGATAGTCCTTGAATTCTCGTAGATAGGTGTAATGTTTATCCTTTGCCCAGATTGTCATCTGAATGAAGCAAAGCAAGGTGAACAGCCCCACTGGAAGGAAAGAATAAAACAGGTAATGTTTCATTATCAGGGTAACAACATATGCTTTTATGCTGACAACACTTCAGGGAGCAGTACCAAAACATTACTCACCTGGGACACACTGAGTCATGATAGTGAAACTGATCCATGTCCCAACCTGTTTTGGCCAAGGAAATGAAAAATATTTCTGGTGGCAGCATTTGCATTTATGTCTCAATTGACCAAAAACAACCTTGTCCTAACACAGATAAATAAAAAGTGACGGTCAGCCAAATCAGTTTCTAGTATCGATAACTTTTAGCCAAAAAAGTGAACAGTGTCTTGCTATACCGAACAAAACCTTAATGTTTGATTCCATAGTAATTATCATGAGTAAAATGTTACGCATTACAGGATAGTTTCCTTTCACTTTCTCTGTCAATTTTGATTTTGTTGCTCCTCTGTCATTGTTAGGGATGGCAATTTTCAATGGCATTAGGCCAAATTGTTGTTCTCATTAACATCTGTTAATTAAAGTCAAGACTTCATGCAGTCTTTCTGCACAAGAGTGCATTTTACCTTGAGCTGCACTGGTTTTAACTGCTTTTAACCTGAGCCAGGAGTTTTGTTTCTGATTAGAGAATATGAGGTGATTCACTGAGTTAATCTTCTAAATAGCCACCACCAACACAAGTTATTCTTTAACTGTGTAATTCACAGACTGGGCAAGTAGACCTGGTAGATAGTTTCATACTCCAGTTTCCCCATTTTTTTCTGTCATAGTCTCTCCTATTTAGCTGTCCACTGTCTTCCTGAATACTCTTTCGTGTTGTAAATCTCATATGGACCTCCATTCCCTCATTGCAGCACACCCACAGTGTCAGTCTCCCTGTTTCCAAATGTTCCTTGTCTGCATCTTGGCCAGCAGCCACATGGAGGCATGGCTCAGGGTCTGGAGGCTCTAAGGTGCGGTCAGTAAGTAATGCATCAAGGGGAGAGAGAAAGAACAGACAAGTTCCAGTCTGAAGAAATTTCATGGGGTTTATGGGAAGAGGCTAAACGTATTGTACTGAACTGTCTTAAAGTTTCCTTCTGTATTTAACATTCCAGCAGAAATGAGAACACACCCAGCAAAACTAAAATCTTAGCATCTAGATTGAAATACATACCTCATATGTATAGTTAGGGCAAGATACAAAGAAGAACAGCCATGTGAATGGATTCTTTGTTGGATATGGAATTTTACGGGTTCTGGATCCTATAAATTAGAAAAAAAAATCATAAAAAGATACTGACACTCCTAGGTAAATTGCAGCGTTCTCTAATGAAAACCCAAATCTGCCTACTCATGGATTTCACCACTGCCATTGGGACAAGCAGGACATGGGAAAACAAGACATCTGCTGGACCCAGAGGAAGGCATAGAATAACTGTACGGAAGTGTCCCAGCACTTGGAAGACATCCGCATCATATTTGCAGCTGTGGCCTTGGATCACAGTCACTCCCATAAGACGTACCTCAAGTATGTTTTAGACTTCAGAAATATAAGTGTTCTCAGAGCATCTCAGAACTGTTTTTTTGACAGACACTGTTACTAAACAGAACACGTTTGGCTATTGCACAAGGACCCCTGCCCTGCAGCATGATCTTGTGCCCCTTGCAGCAGCTAGTCAAGTTGCTTTTGCTTGCTCACTGCCCTGGAAGACTTGCTCCTTTTGCACCACCACTGTAACTAGTATAACTGCTCCCCAGAACAATCTGTCCCTAAACAAAGAAAATTTACAGTAAGGTAAGAAGTTTTATTTAAGAGTCAGGTGTTGGGTTTCTTTCTGTCTTCCCTAGAATCCAATGTTTGCCATGCTGAACAGCCTACACTCCCACAAGCAATTGTCTGCAGAGTATCAACACCCTCCAGGATCAGGCCTCTCATGAGAGTGTGTAACTGTGGAAGTACTGCCTGGATACACAAAAGTGAAAAATTATAATGCAGTTTTTACCATCTCTCCGGAGGTCACTGAGGGCAACATGAATAGAAAAATTCCCAGCTTCACACAACTAAAAGAAAAGCCATAACAGAGTTAAAAAAAAAAAAAAAAAGTTTCCCTTCTATTTATTCTTGTTCTCTTTGTTAGTTCCTGGCATACTTTAGAAAAGTAAAAAAATCTATTGTGAAACCAAACTAAATAATAGCAGTTAGTGTCTTAACAAATGTCCTTAACCAAGATTGCTTACTAATAAGAGGATTGAATAATAATTTTGTTCATCCTCACTTCAAATATTAAGCTACGTTGTGCTATAAAGATTTGTCAGCAAAAGTGGACTTAGTAGGCAAAAGGTCAAATTTACTCTTTACACAGTCCCCATGAGGTCTAAAGGTGGTAAGTCAAAGAGGATAAAAGTAGATCCAGTGAATACTTTAGATTGTACTCGTATTTCTAGAAACACTAAAAAAAGTTGATTTGGACAGTTTTGATATTTCAAAAGTTATTAAAGGTAAATAATAGTTTTCTTCTCTGAAGATTTATTGATATGAACCATAAAACTTAACTGATCCAATATTCTCCAATGCTTTTAAGTAATGCTTCCTCAATCAATTACATGGCAAGTATATTGAAATGGCTTGTTAATATAATCATAGACAGTCTTCAATGTCTGCAAAGTATAATTATTAAAGCAAATGACTGGTGGTCAGAATTCTGGGGTTTCATATCCAGCTCTGTACTTCCAGTTACATAGTCTCTTTATAAAATGGAAATAGATTATTAACTCATAAAATTCATGCTTGGAGGCTGCTTTGAGATTCTTTAGTTTCTAGATTTCTAGATCATTAGTTTCTCAAAGCAAATTAACAGCTGATATTCTAAAGTTAAAAATGAGCTTGTCTTTCTTGCTAGACTATTGTTGTTTCTATGTATAAAATGGTCATAAGCACCGTGAGAATGAACGGACATTGACTTAAGGATTTTGCTTCATTAGGCAAGCTGTAAAAAAAAAAAAAAAAAAATCTCTCCTTGAAATTCAACAGCAGCATAATTTCTTGGATGCCCACTTCTCTGACTTTTACGACCTTTGTGATCCTTAGCAATAAAGGAGTTCATAAAATTCACTGTTTTTTAAACACATGACAGGGATAAAGGATTGTTTTAAAAACCATGAGAGGTATTCCAGCAGGTAAATAGCCTAGTCTCAGAATGGATGTTCAATCAAAATCTTCACATTAGAAAGGGGGAGACATTAAAGCAGAACAGGTAAGGTCTGCTTGCAGCTGATTGACTTCAGTAGTATGTCCAACTGTCCTAGTTTTAAGTACTTGCTTATCCTATCCACTGCTCTGCTTATATAACATAAGAAAGAAAGAAGCATGATTCAATATTAAAAAAAAAAGGGAAGAAACAGACCTACCAGAAACATGATCACAGCAAAATTTATCTGTTTTCTTCCATAGGCTATAAAACAAAATATTTAGTGATGATTAGGACTAATATATAACTAATATAAGTATATAATACTAATTGAGAGCCATTCTGATACTTACAAGGAGGGGTGTAAAGAGGGTGATTGATGTAATAAGCAAGCCAAGCAGCAAAACCCCAGTAATACAAGCAGTTCTGAAAAACAGGGAATTTTTTTCTGCTTTAGGATTTTTAATGTTAGGATACTTAACCATCGCATTTGCCATGGGAAATCAATGCTAACTGCTAGGCCAGTATTTGCTGCAAGAACTACTGATCCTTCATGTTGTAGATAATATAATGAAAAATGACAAGGCTAAGTGTTGTAAAACTGCAGGGGACCAGCAGGGAAGTAGTGCTTGTAGAGTACGATTTCTTCTCAAATATCTGAGCTGTTTAGTTTATAAGCACTTTTTGAAAGCATGATCTTCGCATTGAAAATAAATTCCTCTTGTCTGGCAAGCCATTTGGCCAAAGATCCTGTGTCATAAAGACTGTATATTGAAAATGGACTGGTTTTGAGAACCACAGAGACTTTATAAAACCTGTCTTACACACTGTGGTCTCTTCCCTGCTTATTGCTTTGTACTGGCCAATATCTTGCCCTTCCCCTTCTCCTCCATCCCATCAGTTTCCCTTTCTTCCTATGCTTTAACGTTTCCTCTACAAAGCCTTCATGCCTGACCCTGCGGGTTTCTCAGTGGGGGTTGTCCTTCTGCTGCTGCTCTTGCCTTTCCATGATCCAGTTTCTGTTCTCTGAATTCTGGCAATACGGGTCACAGTAGTGGCTGTAGGGATATTTTCCCAACCAAATCTTACAGTGCGTACCTAGGCTGGGAATCTGTACCCCACTGGGATGCTATTTAGAGCAAGGGTCTCTATCTCTTGGTTGGTTTTCCTGATTTTGTCTCTTGTGTGTGTGTGTGTGTTTGTTTTTCCCCCTGACACTCGTCACCCTTTCAGTATCTTAATGACAGGTTACCTGCTCCTCCTTACCTTCCGTGGGTAGAAGGGAGGCCAATTTTCAGCCCTTCCTCTTCTTTTCTACACTCTTACCTCTAGGTGCTCTTCTCTTGCAGGCAGACTTTTTTAACCCTTGTCTCTCTGTTAACCACTTAAAGATCACGTCTCTCATCAGTTGCGGTTTTTCCTTGATCAAGCCTGGTGTCGTAATTTCTAGTACTTCAGGGCAGGTTTAGTTCATCAAAATTGAGCAAAACCAGAATTGAGCTCTCTACCTACCCTTTACCACTTCTGTTCTTTTCCTCCTATCATTCTTTCTCTCATATTCTTTGCTTTTGAGTAAAATACTCATCCTCTCAGTCTTCCAGGTGACAGCATTTTCTTGGCCTTCTCATAGGGCCCCATACCTTACTCATTTCTAAATCTTGCTTTTTCCTTCACAGCTTTCCTTTTCTGCCCAAAAAGGCAAAACACCCATCACTGCATTCCCAATTGAACTTCTTTTCTGACTTGGAATTTTGCAGGGTTTTTCTGCTGTATATAGCAAAACTGCACTTCTAGCAATAATACCCCAAAGTGATTACCTCAGCATCTGCAGTCCACACTAGCTGCTTGCGGAGTACCTGACAGCACATTTTTCTGAAAATGCTGCTGTGAGGGGTAACCAGTCCTGCTGCTGCAAGCAATTGCATCAAACACTCTGTTGCATTTTCACCATTTCAGAATTAACTGAGCCACTGAAGCAGGCAGAGGCCTCTTTGGGTGTGACCAGGTAAACATGTTATGTCTGTGTTCTGGGATTAATTCAATTTATGAGGAAGAACAAATTATTAACCATGAATTACTAGTGAGACAAAGAGGCAGAGAGATTAAGTGACTTCTCCACAGTGCCTTCTCATTTTCCCAGGAAAAGCGGCAGAGCTGAAAGAAGGACTCCAGTTTTGAGCATTTTTAGTCAGGGGCCTATCCACAAACTGTTCCTTTCTCGCTAAGCTAATTTCTTCCACCCTCATCCAGATGGGTGTTACTAAAACATTCTCAGAAACTATCCTGGCACAACCACTGTCATCCTTCCTCTAGTTAGCTCCTTTATCCCCATAACATTTCTGATTTAATCACTATTTTGCTAACCCTAAATCAGCTCTTTCCTAAAGTCCAGATAATCAGATAAATCCAAATAAAATTCCACCTCACCTTTGCCTAAAAACAAAATCATATATCTTAGAAAGAATTATATTATGATAGTCTGGTAGGACTTGCTTTCTCTCTTCTGCTTTGGCTTTCTCCTTTTTCTGCATCTTCTATTATCTTTCTATTTATTCATATTTTCTTTTTGTGAAACAAAGACAAAGAGTGTGAAAATCATGAATATCATCAATTCCTTTCTCAGATTATCCGCTTATCAAGGCTTAGAGTGTCTTTTTTTAGGGGTAGCTTTTCACTCCTCTTGGGGGAAAAAAACAATCTGCTATGCATGTGATGATACACTTAAAGTTTAATCTACCATCTGTATGTGAGACAG